CTGTGTGTATCAAAAGAAAAACTAACGATTAAAACTAAAACTGCTTTAAAAAATATTAATTGATGTAATTTCATATATTCATTTATAAGTTTTGAATGTGTAATGCTATAATATATAAAAAAAAACAGTAAAAACATTACACCAACATCCTCCTCATTCCGATCAAAACTAGAAGAAGATTTAGACTGCTGTTGTTGCTGCTGCTGCTGTAGTTGATGTCGCTGTGATTGTTGTTGTAGATTTATCTTATTTAACGTAAGGTCATCGCAATAGAGGAAAACATCGGAACATGAAAAGGTAGTCGCGGCAACATCAGTAGCAGTAGTAGCAGTAATGTCAGGTTTCACCAACAGATCAGCAGATGAAGAGTTGGACGACGAAAGGTTTGTAGTGCTAAGGAGGTCGGGATCGAATCCAGAGCAGACGACCAGAGTGAGGCTGTCACTATGAGGGCTCTTTAGTGCTGACACAGATTCTTGATGGGTGAGGCCGAGAATGCTCTGATGGTTTACCTGTTGTTGTTGATGTTGTTGTTGTTGGTGTTGCAGGTAGTTATGTTGTTGTTGTTGGTAGTGGTGTTGTCGTTGGTAGTGCTTAGTCATCAGCGTCGTCGTCGTCATCACAATCATCTTCATCATCCTCATCATCAACATCGCCACAATCGACAACAACAACATCACAAGCGCCATCGTCATCACCTCTAATATTCTCTGTCCAACTTTCAGCCGCCCGTCTCTGTAAGCCAGGCCAGGATTGTGTATCTAATAAGAAACAATGGTCGCCATATAACTACTAGCAATGTCAACATTTAAAAACGAACAAAGACAAACATGCAAACCAACATTAAACGAAACATACAAACACGCATACAAACACGCATACAAACAAACAAACAAACAAGCAAAGCAAAACCTTAGAGATAAATATCCCTTCATCTTTAGGATTAGCAGGATTGCCTGACTTACTTCTGTGACCACCTCTGATACTTATTCCCAACTTCTCATCATGCTCTTCTTTCACTAATGTTACTTCCTAGTTGTGTGTGTGTGTGTGAGTGTGTTTGTGTCTTTGTCTGTCTGTGTGTCTTTGTCTGTGTGTGTCTGTGCTTGTTAGTCTGTGTAGGTGTGTCTTCTATCTTAAAAATTCACATGATCAGTGAGGTATAGCCACGTACATACAACTCGTTATATATTTATACATTTTCCAAAGTTGAATAATAAAGAGTTGTACAAATGAATAAATTATATAAGAGATGGAATGTGACAAGCAGACCTGGAGATTTAATGGCTGTGGGTCCTTGCGAACGACCAGCTTAACAACGCCAACCGCTGATGACAGGTGTTTAACTGCTTCAGCGTGTGTTACGTTCATTAGGTTTACGTTGTTCACCTATTGTGTTCGTTCGTTTGTTCGTTCGTTTGTTCGTCAGACGTGAGTAAACAGTTGTGACGATAATGCGGATGATGATGACAATGAGGTTGCTGATGATGATGCTGACAAAACGGTGAAAACATTTAAGAATTGAAATAGCAATTTGGAAAGAGGAACAACTCACAGAAAGGATTCGATCACCGATCTTTAGAGAGCTATTCGAGGCCACACCACCGGCTGATACCTGGATAGTAATAATAATAATAAACATTCACTCATTCATTCATTCATTCATTCATTCATTCCAACATCCATCCGTCCATTCATTCATTTTTTCATTCACGCCTTCACCAAGTCCCTCACTCCTTCATTCATTCAATGAAGTGCAGGTAAACCGACCCGAGATATGAAAACGCCAAAATCTTCATCATCAGAATTACCGTCCCCACAGAATTCACCAAAAGGGTGATTAGTTTGATCACGACCACCCACAATGCTTAACCCCAAAGGGCCTAAGCCCTTGTTCAGGTGCACCACCTATAATATAGCGTAAATAAAGCGTGTGTGTGTGTGTGTGTGTGTGTGTTTGTGTGTGTGTGTGTGTGGTCAAATTAAATTTACCTCAATTGGATAAGGAGCTATGTTGTTACCATCAAATGCTTTAATACCATCAATACCATCATCGCCATCGTTGTTATCATCATCCTTCTTAACTTCTCCAGATTTAATCATCCATTCATCATCTACTTTATCATTATTACAATCGGCATCATCGCGATAAACGTGGCTGTTATAGCCGCAACTGTCGCTAGTGTCGCCACGACTGCCCATACTGAAGTAGCCGCGACTCAAATCTTCCTCAATTACTATGCTGGTGCTTAGTAGTAACTTACTGTTGGTGCTGCAGTAACTCGACGTTGACGACGACGACAGCGATGATGACGACAGCTTTGGAGGCGATGATGACGTCACCGACGAGGACGACGTCGTTGCTGTTGTTGTTGTCTCTGTTGATGTCAATGATATAGTTGTTGTCTGCGTTATCGACGATGATGATAACGTTGTTTTTACAGTTGCTGACGATGACGACGACGATGACGATGGTGGTGATAATGACGACGATGATGATGATGATGAGGCACTGAACACACTGTTATTAAAACGGCCTGATGGCGAACTATGGACAAAGGCACAAGAAGATAGGGACGGTGATGTTGTTGTTGATGTTGTTGTTGATGTTGTTGATGATGTTGTTGATGTGACTGACGTTGACGTCACTGATGACGTTGTTGATGGCGTTATGGGTTTTGCTGCTGAGTTGATATTCAAACTTGTTGATGTTGTTGCTGCTGTCGTTGATGATGACATCAACGATGACGATGACATCAAAGTTGACGTCATCGTCATCAGAAATGGTTTTGTTGATAAAATAGGTTTAAACTGAAATGACGAAATAGGTAACGCGGGCAATGTTACTGAAGTAGTTGACGATGATTCAGCGGCTACTGAAGCTGATGATGATAACATTGCTGATGATGGTGATGATGTTAGGAATGTGTTTGACAATGGTGTTCCAGACGACAATGTTGACGATGACGATGATGATGACACAGACGATGATGATAATAATGATGATCTTACACCCATTTCCGTTGTTGACGACAAATTTGTGGGTGATGTTAATGATGAAGATAACGACGACGACGATGTTGTAGTGATAGCAACTATCTTATCTTTTAATTTTAACTTAGACACACATGATGATAATGAGTAGACATCATTAACATTTGTGAGATAGTGAAATGTCTCATTGTTGTTTTTGTTGTTTGTATGTCTTTGTATGTGTTGGTGGTTGTCATTGTTGTTGTACATGTTGTATGGCGCTGTTGTGGAAATGTTGTTGCCGCTGCTGTTGCTGAATGTCGGACTAGCGACAAGAGTGCAGCGGCTGTAATAAGACAAAGAGAGGTTTAAGTTAGCAAGGAAACATGCTGATGATAATGAAGATGATGATGAAGCTGGTGGTGATGTTTTTGATGTTGGCGATGTAGGAACACTTAATGATGATGTTGCTGTTGATGATGTTAGTGGTTTTGCTGTTGATGTCTTAGTTGTTGACATCATCTGGGATGTCGGTGACGATGGTGTTGTCGTTGTAGAAGTGATGGAACTGCTTGTTGATGTCGTTTGAGTTGGTCTTCTTGAAGTAAATTTTGCAATTGCGTCATCAATCTCCGCTAATTTTTGTGGCTGACTAGTTGCTGATATGGATGAGTTTGTTGAAAGTGATGACGAAATAGCTGCTGTAGGTGTCGCAGCAGTGGATACTGTGGTTGCCGACGCTGTGGTAGCAACTGGAACTGCAAAAGTGGTCTGAAATAAACGTGACGTTGTTGTTGTTTCAGTAGGCGCTAATGTTGATGATGTTTGTGCTGTTGTAGCTATCGTTGTCGATGCTAATGTTGATGTTGATGATGCCGTTAAAGACGATGTGGATGAAACCGGAATTAATTTGTGGCGATACGCAACGATGGTCAGTTTGTTGTTGAACTTGGAGACGATCTCAACTACATCCGGCAAACTCTTCCCGCTCACGTCACATCCATTAATCTGTCTCCAACAATCAGCAAATTGGTACATTCATTCTAAGTGCCGATGACGCTATTCAATAATTCGTAACATGGAAAAACGACAGCCAACCAACCAACCAATCAAACAACCAACAAACAAACCAACCAACCAACAAACAAACAAACAAACAAACAAACAAACAAACAAACAAACAAACAAACCAACCAGACAGACAGCCAGCCAACAAACTAACCGACATAATCCTATCATGAATCTTCAGTCGCCCATCAAGGATTGCAACGCCCCCTTCAACGATATCAGATATGTAAACACCCTGTACACAATAAAAAAAAGAGAAGAAAAAAATAAAAATAACTCAAAAACGTCGTCGTCTGGTATGGATGGTACAGTTTTTGCATTTGAAAGTTTAACTATTTAGCCATAAGTACCTTCTTGTCATGGTTATCAGTCAGCTTGAACCCGAGACAAGAATGAGGTTCTTTCCTATAGAGAGTGGCCACAACGGCTTCAGTCGACACATCCGCAACGCCGCCACACCCATCACCACCGCCACAACCACTACTACTACTTCTTCTTTCAGCCACACCTAGGCTATCAGTAACGATAAACGATGTAGTGGTCATATGATGATTGTTGTTGGCGATTGTAGGAACAGAAGTGGAGTTGTTCTTGACGTCATTTTCTCTATAGATGACGACGACCACTTGCTCTCTGGCCTCTTTTAGTAGATTGACGGCGTAGGCATGTGGTACGTTGATTACGTTACGCTCATTCACCTAGTGTTGTTGTTAGTAGAGCTTGGATGCGTGCATGTGCATGTATATTTAAATATATATTTAAATATATATATATAAATATATATATATCATAAAGTATACAAACATATATACTTAATGAGTAAATTTGATTTAAAGGAAGGACAAATGAAATGGGGAAAAAGTGAGTTATATATAATAAATAGGTGACTGACAGATATCAACTTATCCCCGACATGTAGGCCGGCCCGGTCGGCTGGTCCCCCCTTTGCAACTCGAGATACGAACACTCCCTAGTTTGCGATTGATTGATTGATTAATTGATTGATTGATTGATTGATTGAATAGATGGATGGATGAATGAATGAATGAATGGCGACAATGATAAATAGTGAAAGTGTAAAATTGCACGAATGATTAACATCTGGAGTATAATGTTTACTGAGCTGATAATTTCACCATCTTCATCATCTTGTTGCTTACCAATCAATCGATCAATAAATAAATAAGAAATAAATAAATCAATCAATCAATCAATCAATCAATCAATCAATCAATTACTCACTTTGTCGTTGCCTCTGAATGGTGAAGAGCCCAGGCCGCCAGCGACATTCATCCCGAGACCAACTCCATCTTCCTTACTGATCCTAAACACCATTTCTACTCCACCATCATCGACATCATCATCTTTATTATCACCAATTCCAGATTTGTTGTTGTTGTTAGCAGATGTCGTGGCTGTTGTCGTCGTCGTGATGGTCTCATGGACGGTCTTGTTGGCTTTAGAAGTCGTAGTTGATGTTGCTGGTGATGCCATTTCTGGTGATGTCACTTTTGATGATGTCATTTTCGGTGATGCGGTGGTCGAATGATGAAAACTTCCGTTATCAGCGTCACCTCCACCCTCATTCCTGATGTCACTGTCGTAAATATGCAAGTGTCTCCTCATCTTGGAATGAGTGTTATCACGAGCGCCATCATCATTATCATCACCATGTTCGTCGCCATCGTCGTCGTCCGCATCTTCATTATCTTCGTTACTCGAAGAGCAGAATTTGATTTGTTTCTTAACCTGTGATAAGAAAAGTTAATACCTATATATGCACAGTTCGTCAACAACTCAAAGCACTTCTTTTCACGTATTCAACGAGTGCTTTTTGAGTATTATTTAAAAAGCGCTATATAAATTTCCTAATCATAGCACACAAAAACACACATACATTCAAACATACGTATATACACATACACACACGTACAGACACACGCAAACCTTGTCGTCGTTATCTTTATCATTATGGAAATCACTCATCCTATCATAGGCCAGTCTGCATGAGATATCCTCAGAGCTTGAAACTGAGTACTTATGTGAGTCCAGGGAACTCTGTGCTAAGATCTGACATAATTTCTCTTCCGGATTCATCTGTCAAATTACAAATTATAACTTAAATTTATTTCATTTTTTTGACATGTTTTTTTTAATTATTTTTTAATCTGTTCGTTCATTTTTTAAAGTAATGGTTTGTACATTCCTTTGAACTGCTAAAGAGCCAGGCGAGAAACACTTTGAAACAACAGGTATCATAGGCACGCACACTCGCACACACACACACCACACGCACACACCACACGCACGCACACACACACAGAAAATTATAACACGTAACAACCATCACCACCACACTGACTTTATTAGTAACGATCCTTTTATTTTTCAGATGATGGGGAGTGTCTCTTCTTCTCAGCTTGCCTTCCTTAGCTCTAAACTCATCGACACTGGATGCGAAACCAACGTGCCTTTCGGCATTGGACTGCTGGAGACGAAACGTTAATTAGCATAATTAATATAATTAACATAATTATGATAATTATAAGTAATACAATCGTTACATATGCTAAGTGAGTTTGTGATGCATGTGATTCAGGCGTATTTACATGCGGTGTGTGTGCGAGTGTGTGTCGTGTGCGTGCGTGCGTGTGTGCGCGCGTGTGTGTTGCTGATACCCCTGAAATTCAATAATAATAATAATAATAATAATAATAATAATAATAATAATAATAATAACAATAATAATATAATAATTATAATAATTAAATAATTGAAATCGTTACCCTTTCGTTGTCGTCATCGTTATTATCATCGTCCTCATCATTGCCAACTCCGGAGAATCTAGGTTTATTTTTCCTCAAAATGACAGGTGATGATGACGACGATGACAATCTCTTCAGATCATCATCAGCATCCTCTTCATCATCGTCATCATCATCATGATGACCGTCGTTATCATCGTTATCAGCATCGCGTTTGCTATTTTTAGCACTGGGGTTGCCCTTGCTATCTATATTTAGATCTTTCGTCTTTCTAGAAAGGGACGATGACGACGGCGACGACGACGATGTTGCGATGTTTGTTGATGTTGTTGTTGTTGCGAGTGGTGGTGATTGTAGTTGCTGAGCAGTCGGTGATGATGACGATGTCGATCGAGGTGATGATAGTTTTGATGATGACGGTTGGACGAGAAATTTGACAGCTGGTAGAAATGTTATCGTGGTCGGTGGTGGTTTTACGTTCTTATCGCTCGCCGGTGAGTAATAGGACAGGGGGGGCGACGAAATGACTGATTTCCTATCTGTGAATGTTCATCATCGTCGTCGTCGTCATTCATCATCATCTAAATCATCAGCCATCACAAACACGACCATCATCACATAATCGCCGTAGCTGTCATCACAGTTTACCGGCAGATGAAGACATGAGCTTGGCAGTTTCGTCATCGTCACCATGGATGTCACCCACGTCATCGTCATCGTCATCCTGACTAGATTTCTTGGAACTCAGTTTATGGCTCTCTGAATCTATTGACTTTAGTGAAAGCATGGGTAGTGTAATATATAATTAGCATGAAAATGTCTATCTGAACCTATTCGCAAATTGCAAGCACAACAACTGGTAATATTACTGCTTTCAATGCTACTGCTGCTGCTGCTGCTTCTACTACCACTACTACCAAAAAAGCAATGAGTACAAACAAACGACAGAGGCATACAGAAAAAAAACACACACATATATATATATATACACACACGATGAAGAAACACAAAGTACACTGACGCAAAGTTTAAAACATACATAAACACACACGCACAGCTAAACACACACACATACACACACACACACACTAACATCTTTAATTTGATCATGTACATTTTCCATAGCCTGGTAGTGCTCCTTTTTGGTTAACTTGTTAACGTGTCTTGTTCGCAGTTCTTTTGGGTGTGGCGTGTTTTGTCGCTTAAATGGAATCTGTGTGTACGTGTATATAAGTGTGTGTACGTCCGTATGTAAGTGTGTGTATGTCCGTATGTAAGTGTGTGTATGTCCTTATGTAAGTGTATGTATGTCTTATGTCTGTATGTAAGTGTATGTATGTATGTAAGTATGTGTGTGTGTACATGTTCGTATGAATACGTGCACACCTCACCTATTTTTGTGTGCGTACGTCTAGGCATATATGTGAGTATAAGTATGCGTATATGTATGTGAGTGTGTACATGCGATTGTATGTATGCATGTGAGTGTGTCTGTCTGTGTGTGTGTATGTGTGTGTGTGTACATTTCGGTAGGAAAACATAATGATACTTCGATGACGCCAACGATAATGAAGATGATGATTACATAATAGCTACCATGCCAACTTTAAAGCAATAGAAATAAAAAAACAACCAATTAATACTATGATGACGACGACGATGATGATGGTGGTGATGATTAAGTACATAACATAACGATAGATTGGAATATTTTCAAAACATAGGTAACAGAAACAAAATAGCACAACAATGAAGACAACAAGAAAGCAACAAAATGCCAGTTCATTTTACGAAAAGATTCGTAATCAAAATTTCCATTTAAACTAACAAAGAAAAACATCTGAAAGCCAATTTTTTAAGGAAATTAAACACACGCATACGAACAAAAAATGCATGTATAAAATACGTAAAGAAAATAAATTAATGAATTGAATAAATCAATAATGAATGAATGAATGAATGAATGAATGAATGAATGAATGAATGAATGAAATACCTCATCGTTGTTATCATTTTGAATAAGTGAGCAATTCTTTTAAAATAGGTAAATAAATACAAAAAGCATAAATACATAAATAAATACATATAAACATACATAAATACATACATCATCATTATCTTCAGCGTCATCATCATCACCATCATCATCGTCATCATCAACAATAAAAATTAACTCACCTCATCTTGTTCAGCATCTGAGTTATAATCATCAACACCAACAAACGCAATGGATGTAACATGATTTTGTTGCTGTTGTTGGTGTTGTTGCTGCTGCAACAATATTGATGACGACAATTGTTGTTGTTGTTGTAGTAACAGTTGTTGATGTTGTTGCTGCTGCTCAATGCTCCAGCCGTCTCGTTCTGTGATCATACATCGACAAACGACATCAACAACAACAACAACAACACTGGAAACACACCAGCATCAACAACACTGAATAACTTAACAAAAACAACACCAAGAACACAACAAAAACAACATTAACAACAACTTCCGTCATCAATATTGTTGCAGCAACAACAACAGCGCAACTAAATTAACATCAGTTGCAACAACGCCAAACTTCTCACAGACCACAAACAAACCTACCCGAATTTTCGGACTGGTAAGCAAGTTGTGGCAGCAGGAAACAGGTTAAAATCCTTTTTCCAACGTTCTCAGCATCCTCATCTTCCTGAAAATGTAACATCGGATGAGTCTGATTTTCGGACAGCCAAATGGCTTTCAAGTTGCAAGAGCCCAAACTCAATGGAAGATGGTGAAGTCTTGGGAACAAATAATAATAATAATAATAATAATAATAATAATAGTAAACAGTGTGTAACGGCGATACTAATAAAAACAATCACATTATCGTCATTCTTTGCTACAAAATCATCAATCAAAACAACTATTACTACTACTACTACTAATACTACTGCTGCAACTGCTGCTGCAACTGCTAGTACTGCAACCACATCAACGGCAACAACCTATTTCCGGCGACATCGAGTACGTGTAGATTTTTGAGATTGCCTATAGCCTCTGGTATATCGACCAGTCTGTTGTCTCGCAACGATAGCACGCCGAGAGAACCGCACTGACCCAGCTAGGAGGGATAAAAATTATTAATTACAATATTAAAATAATTATATTATTATAAAATAATTATTGTAATATAATAATTACAAAATAGTAATAATAATGATAATGATGATGATAATAATACTGACGGTCGGATGTATAGTAAAAAAATGTAAGCCAAAGACAAGACAATAACACTATCATCAGTGATAATGACATCAACAACAACAACAACGCAACAACTATTACATCATAAACAAACAACAGCAACAACAACGCCAGTAGCAACATCAACTGCAGTAACATTAAACGATGACAACAACACCAATTACATCAACAAAAACAAACTTCTCCAGGTACTGAGGACAATCTATTTCTATCCAAATTCAAATTTGTCAGCCTCTGTAACTGACCAAGCTCTCCCGGCAAATCCTATTGAAAAAATAAAATGTTGGCCAATGCAATGGTGTCTGGCACACCTGGTTCGATTGCCAAGAGATCCTATCTATCTATCCTATCCAATTTATCTATCTATCTATCTATCCATCTAACTATTTACTTATCTATCAAATACAGTGTGTAGAATGCGTGGTTTTCATATACGCTGTGTGTGTGTGTGTGTGTGTGTGTTTAATGTGTGTGTGCTTTGTTTTTTTTCCTCTAACCTTTAACCTTTTAATTAACTACGCAACAAAATGCCGAAAAGAATAATTCGAAATAGAACAATGAAAATTACGAATCATTCAGCAACAACACTAACCGCCAGTAAATTCTCGGTTAGTATCAATTCTTGTAATGAATGGCACCTATAATAATAATAATAATTATTATTATTATTATAAAAATATTAATAATAATAAAAATGATAATAACAATGACAACAGTAATAAAAATAATAACAACTATAGCAACTTAGCAAACAAAAGAGCGTACATTCCGATATGAGGTGTCAGCTTGACCAGCTGATTCTGGTCAACTTTCAAGATGCACAATCTACCCAGTGAATCTGTTAAAAAGGATAGTAATAATCTAACCCTAACCCAACAACAAAAACAACGACAACAACGACAACAACAACGACAACAACAACAACAACAACAACAACAACAATAACAATAAACATTATCAACAACAACAACAGCATTTTATTTGACCCAAAAAAAAGTAATCAGACAAATAATCGTCGTCGTCATCGTCATCCTCTTTCCCCTCGTCATCATTCTCACCAATAGTGTCGGGCAGATATTCCAGGAGATTCCTGGAGAGATAGAGATCGATGATGTTAACCAATCCGCCAATTCCGTCCGGAAGAACTTCTATCTTGTTCTCTGATATGTCTAGTTGGGTTAGTTTCTTCAACTTCCCTATGTCCTAATGTAACGTTCAACGTTATTTATTCATAGATTAATAATAGTTTATATTTATTTGTATTGTGTCGCAGATTTGTCGGGTTGTCAATCAATCAGTCAATTATTTTTTCATTGATCTATCTATCCTTACATTCAGCAATCAATCAATCGATCTATTAATCAATCAATCAATCAATCAATCAATCAACCAATCATGAATGAAAAAATGAATGAATGAATGAATAAATGAATGAATGAATGAACGAACGAAAAATGACTAACAGGCGGTATCTCAGACAGTTCATTACAATCAAGTAGTAGCTCTTCAAGATTCAATAATGATCCTAGAACATTGGGCTGCTTGATCATTATCATCATTATTATCATCGTTATATAAAAACACACACACAAACACACACACATACACAAACACACACTCTTTCATATTCACAGACACACAAAAACTACATACATACTGACGCGTATTCACAGACATACACATACACAAATACGCACACACACACACATACACACACACACACACACATACACACACACACACACATAATAAACAAACAGATACACACACACATAAACTCACAAGTTCTTCAATGAGGTTATTTCCCAGATCTAGTATTCTTAATTTCTTCAATAGAGACATAGACGATGGAAGGTATTTAATGAAGTTCTCTCTCAGTTCAAGGTTCTCCAAGTTCACCAAACTATAGCGGCATAATATTAATAACAATAACAATAATAATCACCACCACCACCACCACCACTACTACTATTTCTACTACTACTACTACTATTACCACTACTACTACTACTACTAACTACTACTACTTTTCCTGTTGCTACCAACTTATGCAACACTAACTACTACTAACTACTACTACTTTTCCTGTTGCTACCAACTTATGCAACACTTACTGCCCAACTACTAATACTCATACTACTACTACTACTACTACTACTACTACTACTACTACTACTACTACTACTACTACTACTACTACTACTACTACTACTAAAGTAACAAACGACGAAAAACAACAACTACAACAACAACGACAAATAGCAGTAATAACATTAACCTTCCAATATCACATGGCAGTCTGTTCAGTGATATGTCATTGAGGCATAGGTAGGTCAGATTCTTTAGGGACGTGAAACCTTCGGGTAGTCTGCAAATAGTCGAAACATAGCGTTAGAAAAATAATAATCCTCGATCGAATCTTGGAAAAACTGTTAGGAATACGTCTGCAAAAAGAACCGCCCATCAAAAGATACAAAAAAAGACAAAGAAGTACACAAAACAAAAGTGATATAATATAAAAAAGCTGCTTTTTCTAACTAGGCAGGTGAACAAAATGGATGGATAGCAATGGAGAGAATGATTGGTTGGAAGAACCAACTAACGAATTAATGAATAAATTATGGAATGAATGAATGAATGGATGAATGAATGAATGGATGAATGAATGAATGATAAAATGAATGAATGAATGAATGAGAAAATCAATGAATGATGAAACTTATTAGTTTGTAAGTGAGTGTGTGTGAAAAATAACCATAAAATCGTTTTTTGAAAAAGCGTTTTATGCGCATAGCAGATGTGTAGATGATAATTTTATCTGAGTGAGAATGTTTGTGTATTGGATTGTAGAATTTAAAAAATTAACTGCACTCCTTCAGGGTGTGGTTGTGTATGTTTGCGTGTGTGTGTGTGTACGCTATGCTCCTTCTATTTACATTTGTAACTTTGTTGGATCACATCACATCAAGGGTTAGTGATTATTAAATAGGTGAACATCGAACAATTACAACAAAAACATAAAATAATAATAATTATTATTACAATTTTTTTATGTAATAAAAAAAATAGAACGAAAATAAGGATGAAAATGGGGAAAATAACATTCCTAACATTTAAAAGATGTGATGCGAGAAACAATAGTTTGCAAATTGATTGAAAAAACTCAATCTGAGAAAACCACAACAACATCATCATCATCTACAATAACATTAACAACAAGGACATTATAGAAACATTAACAACAACAACAATTGTAAAAACCCAACAATAAAAAAAAACCCAAAGCTATAAATATTCCTTCTGATTTATGCAGTTTCAACAAAAACATCAACAACTGCATTTTAACATTTACTAGAAACGCTTAAAATAAAACAACATTATCTATGAAAATTACATTTAAAAAAGTCTAGATGTACAGGCAGTTCAAGTGTACAATGTACATACAAATGGGTAGTTTGTGTGTGCGTGTGTGTGAGTATGTGTGTATCTATGTATGTATATGATTGTGTGTATGTGTGCTAGCAAAAACAAAACAAGAACACACAAAAAATTGGCAAAAATTAGAAATTTTTAGTTAAGAAGATAAATATTAATATATACATTATAGCATGTTTGCTTGTATTAATGTATAATATGTATGTTTTGTATATAGTATATATCTGTCTGAACGTATTTGTGTATGTGTGTATGTATTTATGTATATATATGCATGTGTTTGTTTGTTTCTTTCTTTGTATGTATGTAAATATATACGTATAGATGTGCATGCTGTTTGTGTATGTTTGTTTGTGTGCGTATGCATATTTAGGTATGTGTGGGTGTATTCATCATGTATGTGTGTGTGTGTGTGTGTGTGTGTGCGCGCGCTTGTGTGGTTTCATTTTATCTACAATCAAAGATAAGAGAAACATTAAGAAATTTTATTAGGCATAGTGATGATAATAATGAATATTTTTAATAAATAATATCTAGCTGACATTAAAAGAACTACAAAAACAACAACAATAATACCAACAACAACAACAATAATAATAATACTTTCCAAAAAAACTAAATTTGAATTGTTTATGTGAGGAAAAAATTTAATTAAAATAACATTGCACCATCAGAGTAATAAATTTCTTTAAATTAAATCAATGTTTTGAAAGTTATAGCAAATTATATTGTATACATGAATGAATAAATGAATGAATGAATGAATGAAAGAATGAATGAATAGACGAATGAATGAATAAATGGATGAATGAACGGAACCAAAGAACAACAAAAATATGATATGGAGAACACAGAGAAAAAATTAAAACCCCAAAAATACATCAAACACATTTACATATAATTATACTCTACCTATTTTTTGAGACAACAAGAGTAATAACAATAACAATAACAACAACAATAACAACAATAATAACAACAATAATAAATAAACAGAGAATAAAATTAATTAATGTAATATAATCCAGTAACACATATTTAGGATGAATGGTGTTGATGAAAAGGCCAAAACATGTCTGCCTGCATGCTATAATGCAAACGCTATTGTAAATATTGATAACTACAACTACTACTACTACCATTACTACGTTACTACTACTACTACTACTACTACTACCACTACCACTACCACCACCACTACCACTACCACTACCACTACCACTACCACTACCACTACCACTACTACTACTACTACTACTACTACTACTACTACTACTACTACTACTACTACTACTACTACTACTACTAGTACCATGCACACACACACACACACACAAATATAAATTTGAGCAATGATGCTTGCACACTTGTTTACATGTACATTTAGTCAGTCAGTACACACATTAATGATAATTATGTGTATGTATGCACGCATGCATGTACGTATATATGTATGTGTATGCATGTATGTGTATGTGTGTGTGTGTGTGTACATGTTTGTATGAATAAATAATGACTGGGACAAGAATGGTGATTAGTTAATGATGTGTGTAATGAGAATGAATAAATTAATTATTATGTATATGGCAACTACACATACTTTTCCTTCATTCTCTCTCTCTCTCTCTCTCTCTTTCTCTCTCTTTCTCTCTCTCTCTCTGGTTATATATATATATATAACACGTGTATAAATACATACTACATACGTGTGTGTGTGTGCGTGTGTTACGTGTGTGTGTGTGTGTGTTTGTGTATTCGTGTGTGCGTGGGTGTATGCCTATATCTATGACAGTGCAATGGCATGTATCAAATATCAATATGATAATAACTGTAACAGCCAAAAAATAATAATAACAACAACAACAATAATAATAATAATGATAACAATAAATAGTTGTAATAGTAATAGAAGTTTTAACTATGGCTAGTATGACAAATTATTCATGTGACATGAATGTTAATGTTAATGGCATCAAGGTATTAATGCAAATCCTCTTTTCATAAGACAAACCATGCATTCATCTTCATCATCATCAATATCATTGTGATCATCATTATTTATCATCATCATCACCGTGATCATCACTACCATCATCATCATCGTCATCATCATCTACTTTTACATCATCATTATCATCATCATTATCAACTTTAACATCATCATTATCATCATTACAACCACAAAGCATCATTGAATCAGCCAGAATGTTTTACAGAACTATAATGGATTCCTTAACCAAAATTTGGCTTAGCAACAATAACAACAACAACGACAACATCAACATAACATCAACAATAGCAACAACAATAACAACAACAACAACATAACATCAACATTACAACACCAACAACGACAACATCAACAGCAGCTAACTTTGATAAAGGGTTGCTACTGAAGTCTATAACTTGAAGATTTTTACAGAGTTTTATATTCTCCGGTATGTCTTCAATGTCTACGTATACAATTTTAGAAATAGTAATGTCAACAATATAAAATTATAATAGTAATAGTGATAAATTAAAATTAAAAACAAAAAACAACAAAAAACAAATAGTGGAAAATTAAAATTAACACTGAACAAAAAAGACAAAACAGGATACTAGCCATTTTTGCTAAAATCCAGTTCTTGGAGATTCACGAAATTGCTTATGTCTGGGTGGATGCGACTAATTTCATTGTCACTCAGTGTTAATTTCCTTAATTCTACTAATCTATATAAACTCTGGATGAAAGTGTGAGTGAGTGAGTGAATGAAATAATGGATGAATTAATGAATTGATAAATGAATAAATGTATAAATGTATAAATGAATGAATGAATGAATGAAATGAATGAAACTAAAAATCTGTAACATAATTTAATTTACAACATTAAAAAAGGAAATTTGTAAAACTCTGTGAATCAATGCAAACTAACTAATCAATCAACCCTCAACCATCCAACCAATCAGTCAATCAACACTCACCCTAGGCAGTTCGGAGAGTTGGTTGGAATCGAGGAGGAGTTCCTCAAGGGTACGAGTGTGCCGGAGAACTTCGTCAGGCACCGATTGTAAGTTACAATGCCTCTTGTCCAAATATTCCACGTGCCGGTTGCACGATTTTATAAACGGTATGCAGTGAAACATTTCCAAATTTAAATAAAATGTCAGCGGTAGTTTTAGATTTAAATTTTTTTAATAATAATTAAACATTTAATCCATCCAAAAAGCAAATAGCAAATAATTTATGTTTGATACCGAAATTAGTTTCATGTGCTGGCTGATGCTCTGTCGAAATGTAATTTGAATATCATTTGAATATTTATCTAAACAGGAATACCACTGTATTGTACATTGTGGTTTCTTAACATGAATGCTAATGTATTTATATTAATTCATCCATAATTCAATTCTTTTCATCATCTAAAAGTTTCTGGTTGAATACGCTTACATAGTGTATTGTTGGTCTCTCGTCAGCCTTGCTTTGGCTGGCTCTGAAATGTCAGAAACAGATTTAGTTTCACATAAATCAAGCTTATTCTTTGAGCATTTTTCTAAATTTATAACCAGAAACAAATTCTGGTGGCTTTCAAGTAACCAGGATCTTATTAGTACATTATGCAGTATGTTTTTATCCTTACATTCTTAAGCTAAATCTACAATAGTAATTGTTGTTAGCTGTTATTCAGGCATTAATTTTTACTCAAAATTGCTTTTAATCACTTACGAAATTTCTGAATAATTGTATTTTTTTAACAAAGATCTCTTAGCAATGCTCTCAAACATCCAGTAGATATCATGGATATAATCCATTGTAGATATATGTGATTGTTAACTGCTATCAACGGTTAATTGCTAAGTTGGATAGTAACGTAAGATACATTTTTGTTATGTTTAAATAGCAACGCCTTATTACATGTTGCTAATTTTTTTAAATAACTGTAATATTCAATGATTTTTGCTAGTTATTCAATTATGTGGATAATTTAATGTAATCAAAGGCTGGAAATTTTATGTTTATTACCTCAATCCACATTTAAAGATCATTTTGTAAACAAAACAGCTGATCGAAGCCGTAATTTGAATATTAATTTAATTTAAATTCATTATTATGGCGAATTCTATTCCTCCGATCTTCCAGCTTCAAAATTTGGGAAAAAATCAAGAATTGAAATTAAAGTTGGCCGATAAAATTTGCTCCAACTTTCAAGAGTTGAGCTTGCTGTCGAAACAGATGACCAGATCTTCCAAATCATACGAAGTTTCTGTAACATTTCAGATTATCATTATATTTTTTTCCGTGTTTCTATGTAATATTTATATTTAAAAAAATTAAATAATAATAAATTGTTTTAATTACCTACTACGCTACACAGCACTTTGAAAAGATGACTAGGAGTTTTGCCAGTCAAGAGGTGGTGATAGAAAATGCGTTGATTGTGGGTTTTTTGTATTTTTAAAAAAAGTTATTATATTGAATAGTTACTGAACAAATTTGATACATTTATTAATAATTATATTTGTGAGAAAAAGAGAAAAATAGAGAAAGAGAGTGTGTGTGTGTGTGTGTGTGTGTGTGTGTGTGTGTGTGTGTGTGTGTGTGTGTGTGTGTGTGTGTGTGTGTGTGTGTGTGTGTGTAAATGTGTGTTTTATTTAAAAAAGATTGAAGATCTAAATTTTTATTTTTAATGAGAAACTATTCTATAATGATGAACTAGTAGGTTAAAAAAGTTTGATTTTATTCATGTTTAAGAAATCATTCATACCCACATATGTTACAAATAAAGCATTTAGTACACAGTTTATTTATTTTTTAGTTTATTTTACTCAACGATAGATATTTGTCACATTAGTGAATACTTGTTATTCTTTTCAAATTATTTAGTTTATTATTTTATCAATTTTTTTGCAGAATTTAAAGAAAATTGGACTCCTAGTATCCAATTTACATTTTCAGTAAGTAAGACATTTTTTTTCCTCCACCACCCTTCTTTCAAAAAATTTTTCAAAATTTGAAAATTTATTTATAAATATTATTAATGTTTAAATTGACATTATCTCAATATTTATAGGGCTGAAGCTGTTGACAAAAGGTATCCAAAGTTACATTTATTTATTTTCATTAACTACCATTAAATTATTATAAAATCGTTTATTATTAATTAATTAATTGAATTAATCATATCAAATTTTTTCTTTATTAAAATAGTTTCAAACAGTTGGAGAATATAAAAGGGCAGATCAGTGCAATAGAGAAAGGAGAATGAATGAATGTATGAATGAATGGATGGATGAATGAATGAACGAATGAATGAATGAACGAATGGATGAATGAATGATGAATGAATGATTGACGTTTGGTTTTTTTTTAGTTCAATCGGTTTTTTCCATACACTGTATACCATACTTTTATAAATCAAATGCGTTGTTATCTCGTTTAATATTAATTTTCGAAACAAAGAGCAATAATTTCAAATTACATAATTCGATTTAAGTACAATGTTTTAACATACTGAGTCAAATTTATATTTAGTATTAGTTGTTTGTTGAAACCCATGCAACTTCGTAAGTCCAACTCTGTTTTCTAAACAAAAAGCTATATTTTTATTGAAATTGACAACGATAATTATAAATTAAATAATTCGATTTAATCATATTGTTTTAAAAATATTTTTTAGTCAAGTGAACTTTTTGTATTAGTTGTTTGTTAAAACCCATGCCATTTCGTAAGTAAGCCAGCTAACTTTATTTATTCAAATCTGCTGAGGTAATTAGTAGAAGCCGCTCGCTTGGCTTTATCAACGTGAACCCTAGAGAAACTCAGCTATGTCCATCAAATGCATATACATTCTCACACACGTACATATACGCAATTGTTGAAAGGAAAATGCCTGTGTGTAAATAATGAATGTGTTGAAAAAGGTCAACTGATCAAGAATCGTTTGTGTGTGTGTGTTGTTACGTTGTGTGGTGTATTTATTTCATATTCACACACCACACACACACACACACCACACACACACACAACACACACACTCAAACACACTGAAAAATTATTCTGCATACGTTTCACGTGCTAACGACTCGTCCCTGGCATTATTATTAATTTCACATAAACGATGAAACCAATACTAACACTTTAATACTAATAAAATGCGATTTGTTATAGTAGTAATATTAATATTTAATTCTTATGAAAATTACGGACCCTACACACACATATACATGCATACACGTACGGAAGTATACAAACACACGTACATAGTGACACGCATGCGTGTTTATTCGTGATTTTTTTTAATTTAAAAAAGTTGCCGAAAAAAACACTTCCTTATAAGCATATTAAATAAATTATCACAAGCGTCTTCTCACTCTACATCATCCGCACAAAATTTTGATGACGTCAAATGAATAAATCACGTGATCATCTGCACGTGGCGTTGAAAGTTCGTCTGTCTGGTTGGCTGGTCTGTCGGTTGGTTGGCTGGTTGGTTGGTTGTTTGAATGGTTGGTTGTATGATTGATTGACTGATTGATTGGTTTG